GCTCTTTTTATTCTTGTGATTTTCAAAGAGCTGTTTGAAGCAGCACTCCTCAAAGCATGGGCTTGGACCCAGACAGTCTGGGAACAGAGTAGGCACAGACACGAGAAGAAGGTTTTAGAAATGTGTGGCCAGCGCTGCTGACATCCAAGGATGTGTGATCACTGCGGTGTGTCTTACCCGAACACGTGCAAACAGAAGCGCTGGCTCCTCATCCCGGGGCCCTGAGATGCACCCCCAGACTCTAAAGCCAGGTCTGGGGACTGCTCCTCACTACCTCTTTGGGCGGTCCCATCACACATGGGCGCCTTCCCCAGAGGTGGTCTGGACGCCCCTGACACCAGGGCGGGGCTCCCTCTTTTCAGACCAGCCATTCATCAGCAGCTCCATCCATCTGCCAGCGGAAATGTGCCTCACGGCTGGCAGCATTTCTCCACCGCCACCTTGTTCCCCAGGGCGGGTGACCCTGAGCTGGGACAGATCCTGTGGTCTGTGTCCAGTGGCCCTGGGGACCCGCGGTCACCGGAGGGCAGTGAGGGCCGCATGTCCTGCTCCCCCCCCGGGTGGCAGTTCGCTGAGAGAATGCTGTGATTCTGCTGAGGGCGGGGGCAGGGGCCCAGCATGGTGGGCACCGCCTCAGTGACCATCTCTTCCTCCCCAGCCATCGACTACAGCGACAGTGCCATGCTCCAAGCCCAGCAGCTGCTCCTGGGGCTGGGCTCTTTCCTGGAGGATGCACGTGCTTACATGAAGGGGCAGCTGGCCTGTGGCTCTGTCAGGGAGGTGATGCTATGGGAGAGGTAAGAGGCCCACCTAGCACCTGGTGTGGCGTCCCCTCCTGCGGCCTGCTGGGCGCTGCCACTGGTGTCCTCAAGGGGAGGGGCCCCCAGGAGACAGGATGCTGGGCAGGAGGTCCAGGTGTGGGGTCAGGGGTTCCTCGGAGAGGCCTCAGGAGACAGGGTGCTGGGCGGCAGGTGTGGGGCCAGGGGCTCCTGAGACGTCCCAGGGAGATGGGGAGCTGGGCAGGAGGTGCGTCTGGGCCCTCGGGTGCTGAGCCCCCTGCTCAGAGTGGCTTTGGGCTCTCGTTCCCTGTGCAAGGAGCAGAGCGCTCATCATCCCTCTCAGTCCTGGCCGTGAGAAGCCAAAGGCTGCAAAACACACAGGCCTGGGCCCACAGCCTCGCCCCGGCTCCCCCACCCTGGGTGTCCGGGGCGGCACTGCACATGCAGTTTTCCAGGTGGTCTTGGTGACGCCGCAGCCCTGCCACTTCAGCAGGGAGGCAGCCAGTGGCCACGGGAGGCCGAGATGCAGGAGCTCTTGCCTAGGCCGTCGTCTGTGCCGTCTCTCCCTCACTGAGCCTTCCCTGGCGCTATTTTCTATTAACTCCCCACAAAGTCTGTTGCTTTTTAAAACCGTCGTGAACATGCCCACATGTATCTTGTGTGTTAAAATACAGCGTCACAGTTCACCTCCGCTCTGGGACTTTTCCCTGGGGTAACGTGACGGTTTGCAGTTGATGTTATATAATTAAGTTTCTGCTACCCAGGAGTCTCACAAGTCTTTGGGAATGTGACCTAGAGAGAGTCCCCAAATTAAAGCCTCCAGCTTCTCTCCCTGGGGAAGGACTGGGGTGGGGGCCTCCTGGGGAGGGCAGAGCCCCTTCTGCTGGGACTGTGTCTCTCTTCCTCTTCCCTCAGGCTCTCCAGCACCAAGAAGGCCGTGAGGGCAGCCTTGGCAGATGACTTTGACACACCCAGGGTGGTTGATGCCATCCTCGGCCTTGCGCACTGTGGGAACGGAGAGCTCAGGGCAACCCTGAAGGTAGCTCAGCGAGCAGGCGGGCTCGCAGTCCCGCCGCCAGGGGCATGGGTCAGGTTCTCGGGTGGGTTTTTCTCATGCCTGGGCTCACTGCTGATTGCGCCTCCCACACCTCCTGTGGAAGAACTGGTGGAACCCGGGTCTGCTGCAGACAGGCAGAATGGGGACGGTGCCCGCCTTGGCCCAGCCTGGGGCTTGACACTCCGGGCCCTTGGCCACCTGGAGAACAAGCTCTCGGGAGCCCCTGAGGCTAAGATACTCTCAATGTGCTCGATCCTCAGGGTACACAGCTCATCTCCCTCCTGCACTCACGGCTCTTTCCCAGAGAGCTTTTGTGGAGAACTTTTCAAGAAAAGACCCATTTACCCCAATGCACCGTTAGGCAGTCAGCACCCAGTGACAACCACGCCAAGCCTCTGGGGGTCTAAGCCTGGACCCGTGGGTCACTGAAAGCATTTGGGGGGTGGGACAAAGACTGTGGAGGCGGTGGCAGGCTTTTGTTCCTGCACTTCTGAGGGTCTCCCTGCCAGGCCCTGCAAGGAGCTCCGTCAGCAGCCCTGTGACCTTTCACGACCCGAGAAGCCAAGGCTGTTCGTGCCTCTCACATCTCTGGATCACCTGTGGGTCCTGGCCGCTTCCTCTTTTGGTTGAGCATCTCTCTGGAGGTCTCCGTCCCTGGCTGCGTACAGTGTTGGGTTTCCCTTGTGACCCTGGTGGGGCAGGGTGCCCTGTGCTGGGTGCTGGGTGCCTTTGGTCCAAATACCGTAGAGGCATAGGGCTCACCTCTGAGGGGAGCGGACACTTGAATCATAGCTGGGTGCAGGGATAGGCTGCCTTGCACTGAAGGCAGCCAGGCTGGGCTGGGACAGGTCCAGCGGCCAGGCTGCTCCAGCACAGGAGCTTCTCCTCTGCCCGTCCGAAGCCTTCCCGTGTGGCTTTCCCTCCACCTCCTGCCTTCACTGCAGCTGCTACCAGCACCCTCAGGCTGGCCCAGCTCTTGGCCAACAGGGGCCTCTTGTGGCAAAGGGCTGAGCATAAGAGGCTGGTGTCTGCGCTCTCCTTCCCAACCTTGGCAGTTCTGGGGCATCTGCAAACTAGGGCTTGTGTCACACGAGGGTCTTGTTTGGCAACTGACATGAGCCACGTGCCAGGATTGCCTTGTTTTCTGAGAAATCTAGCCCAGCCAGTGCCCACTCAGCCTCTACCTGCCTCGCGCTGCAAGCCACGGCCCATGATCACGGTTCACCCACAAAGCCTGATGAGCTAGTACCTCTGTCCATCCACATTACTGATGGGTAAACTGAGGCACGAGAGATTCCTGATGCGCCTATAGTTGGGTGATCTGCAGTGAGGTAGCTGATGCCAGAGCTGTGTTCTTCCTCCATGGAAGCCAGGAGGAAGGCCAGACTGAAGGGAGCTGCTGTGATCTTTGTCTGTTGACACTGAATTCTCTTTGCCCACTGCCATCAAGACTGTTTATTTATTTTTTTGAGACCGAAAATCTCACTCTGTCACCCAGGCTGGAGTACAGTGGCATGATTTTGGCTCACCGCAAACCCTGCCTCCTGGGTTCAAGCGGTTCTGCTGCCTCAGCTTCCCGAGTAGCTGGGACTACAAACTACCATGCCTGGCTAATTTTTTAATTTTTAGTAGAGATGGGGTTTCACTGTGTTAGCTAGGATGGTCTCAATCTCCTGGCCTTGCGGTCCGCCCACCTCAGCCTCCCAAAGTGCTGGGATTACAGGTGTGAGCCAGCACTGGCCAAGACTGCTTCTAAGGAGCTTCCACGCTGTGGCTTCTTACAGGAGCCTGGGGGTCCACGAAGTCCTGCTGTGTTTGGTGCCATCATCTCTTACTTTGAACAGTTTTTTGAAACTGTTGGAATTTCTCTGGCAAATCAACAGGTAGGTCCTATTATTTTAAATGCTTAATTCTGGAATTATCTCCATGTTGGAACAATAACCGTTACCTTTTTAACGTGGAATAGCTCATTATGATATCAAACTCATTTATTTACCTGCTTAAAAATATGTTGCTTTCCTGGAAAGATAAACACACACAGAGCCAATACTTACTAACTGGAATTACACAGTCCGCTTCTGAAGTTGGCAGACTCTCTCGTATGCAAAACCAGAGATGGGAGCAGAGTGTTGCCAGCTCTGCACACGCTTGATTATGTTGAAACTTGGAACGTGCAGAAGTCACGTGCACAGTAAGAGACCATTTTTTCCTGATCCATTTAAGGGCAAGTTGCCGGCCTGAGCCCCCTTGCCTGGCGCATGATCCTATGACAGGACAGGCTCCCTGACAGGCACGAGTCGCCCTCGTGCCTTCCCGGAGACGCTCACCCTCACTGGCTGCATCACGAAGGTGGACACTGCCAGGCTTCTCCACGTTCCTCCTCTTCCCTTGAACTGACGAGCATTTTTGCAGAGACTTGGATCCAACGGAAATCTCCCCTTCCTCACAAGGCTGGCATGGAACCTGTTTACTGTATTGATACGGATTGGAGGTTTCCTGCCTTATTCTGGAAGTCCCCCAGCGTCACTTGTTAGGAGCGTATGGCTGACAGTGGGGACTTTGGAGCTGGCGCTGTGTCCCAGAACGTCTCTGTCGTTTTCTGGACGCCCTTGTAGAATGTAGAATTCTCAGCACAAGGTGCTCTGGCTCTCCAGAGTGTGGCTTGGCTGCGGCTGCCTGGACAGGGGCTGCCACTCCACACCGGCTGCCCAGCACCCCGTGGTGCCCGCCGCTTGGGACTGCGGCCTGAGCAGGTGTGGAGGCTTGGCTCCAGGCCGGACACGTCTCGCTGGCTCTCAACAGAGAACTATGGTGTCTGTCCCAAGTGGGGCTCCTGTGCATACCTGCTGATCACCTGGGAGACTCAGTTCCCCTTCCCAGCAGTCCAGCGTCCGTTGCCAATCATGTGAAAGTCCACTGGTGTGAGATGACCAAGGTTTTGCAGTGTACGTGTTCATGTTCAGGGGAGGCTTTCCAGAGTCTACTGAGTAAGAAAAGTGGGATCTGGCCAAGCTCTGCCTATCCCTTGTCAAAACCCTCTCACTCACCTTCCTCCGGCCACAAGGGCTAAGGTCTGGGCTCATATATTTGTGATAACAAAAACTGTTTTATCATGGAAGCGATAACTGAGGAGTGTATGAGGTTTAAGTAGTTTGACACCAAAGTAAAAGGTTGTGGGTCTGTTTATTTTACACGCATGAATATAATAAACCGGTACAACAGCGCCCTTCCACACTGCCCCAGGCGCTGTTCTCAGCGGGAGGACAGTGCAGAGGCCTTCTGCCCAAATCCTGCCCTCAGCACCTGAGGCTGGGAATCTCAGACCGTTTGCTGAGACGCTTGTGCTGTCGCTGACCCCCAGCCGCCTCAGGTGCTCCGGATGCCTCGGCCACACTTGTGTGGGGTCTGGAACCCAGGGAGCGCTTGTGTGCAGGGTGGGGTGGCGTGCACTGCCCAGTCCTTCTGACCTCCAGGGGAGCCCCAGTCTTGCCTGGATGACAGATGCTCAGAGTTGAGAGTGGAGACTTGCCCTGAGCCCAGCACTTAGGGGCCGCACCCATCCCTGCCAGTCCCAGAAAGAGGCCCAGTTTTAGGGAATCTGGGAAGGCCAGGGCTGGGTGTGTCTCGGCCCAGAGCCCAGCCACCTGGGTGCCATGGTCTCCAGGGGGTGTGACCGTGCCCTGCGGGTCCAGTGTGTTTCAGGAGATGGCAGCGAGGCCACCCTTCGGGCCGTGGTGGACGAGCTGGTGCGGTTCCGGCAGCAGGTGCGGCAGTTTGCTCTGGCCACGCCTGAGGCTACTGGGGAGGCCCAGCAGCAGCAGCGCCTGGAGAGGCGGCCCCTGCTGGAGGCATGTGACACTGTGCGTCGGGGCCTGACTGCCCACGGCATCAACATCAAGGTGAGCGCTACACCCAGGCCAGGGACATCACCCCAGTGGCTGGGTAGGTCAGTAGGTGTCACACAGACATGGGACCGCCAGAGGCCCAGACATCCCCCATAACCACGCTTCTTTCTGAGTAGAGAAACCCACCCAATGAAAAATGAGATGGGAGGGCTGCGGGGTGGGGGCCAAGTCAGCTGGAGGGGACGCCTAGCATGGGGCCGTGGGTCCTGCTCAGCCCCCCCACCCCCCGCAGGTGCTGCACAGCTCCTGGCCTTCTGCTGGAGGCAGTGGGGCCCTTTCTAAGCGCCCTGCAGGCTTTTTAGGGCAGGTCAGTGAGGGAACAGGCACCCTGAACCTGATCACGCCTGTCAGCCCCCTGTGCCACATGACATGGCGTCTGCTGAGAGTTGGGCCTCTCTTCTACAGGACAGAAGCCATACAACATCCACATGGGAACTGCTGGATCAAAGGACAAAGGACCAAAAATCCTTTGGGGACTGAGGATGGAGCACAGCCATGAGCCTGCTCGTGACACACGGCGCACCTGTGCTTCCTTGCAGATAAAGCTTTACGTTAAAGCTCCCTGTCGAGGCTGCTAGGTCAGCATTAAAGTAAGGCAACCCACAGTGTCCCACTGGCATTGGTTAGTAACTGCGCCTAAACATTCACTGCGCTCTGGTGTCGTGACTAGAGTCACCGTCGATGCAGTGAAGTCGCGTCAGACATTGAGTAGCGCCAGGCAGCACGTGTGCCCATGGGTGAGACGCACTGGGCCATGCCCAGGGAGCAGACAACACAGGAATAGAAGAGCAGGGACCCAGGGAGGTGGCAGGATGCAGCATTTCCTTCTGAGGGAGGGGCTGGGATGGGTGAGGCGGATGGGCCACGCAGCAGCAGAGTCTGAAGCATGGGGGACTCCAGGCAATGTGAACCCTGGGACGCTCCCTCCCCAGCAAGAACACAATATTAACTCTGGTTATAATAGAAAATATGCAGCAGAGAACTGTCCGTAGTCCCGCTGCATTTAACATCCTGACAGCTGCTGGGCATCTTGGCGTCCCTGGTCTAAGCAGAGCAGTGATGGGGTCGCGGCTGGGCCTTGGAGAGGTGAGTTCAGAGGCCTCAGGGCAGTCAGCTGAAAGCCAGCTGGCGAGGCGTGACGAGAGGATTCCCAAGCGGAAAGCGGCAGCCAGTGCACGCGGGCTGCCAGGGCTGCGGGAGCGGGGCCTTCCAAAGCACCCACCTTGCTCCTGATCTCACTTTTCTGTAGTCAGCCCAGCGCCACAGCTGTTGGTGACCCAGCAGGGTGACCCGCTCCACTCTTCCTGCTCGCAGAGCCTGGGCCAGGCCTCTCCCTTACTGCTGCACGGGCATCTCTGAATCCCATGGGCGCAGGCAGCAGCAGGATCTGTGACTGGGGATCCAGCCCTGCTCATCACTGAACCAGGGGCCTGAGGCATGGCTCCTGTCTGCAGATAAGAATGCCAGTTCAGAAGTCACCCACCTAGAAAGTCACCCTAGGAAAGCTACCCACATACAAAAAGGCCCCAGAGACCTCCTCACAATGAGGCATCTCGACAGGGCCGCTCAGTCCTGGGGCAGACTGCCCTGCCAGGCCACTGCCTCACCAGCCCCACACACTTCCCACTGCTGTCCTGGTCCAGGAAAGGGAGTGTCTGGAGCAAACGTGTAAGAGAAGGGCTTGAGAAAGAACAGGGAGGCAAGGAGCTGATCATAAAAACAAACCCATTCGCTCCTTCAAGCCAAGGGGTGTTTTACTTAGAACAAAAACTTAGTAACCACAACCATGAGAGAGTTCCTACGACTGCTGAATTGTATTTCCCAAGGAAAGAGGGGGCCGCCTCGGGCTTCTCCCTCACGGTTCTTTACTGCAGCCATCGTGGGAGGCAGGCGCCCGTGGTGAGGGACTGTCACACACAGGCTGATGTATTTTAATCCCTGGTGTCTCACAATATCCTCACCTAAGAAAGCTGAAAGGTGATCTTTAGCTGTTTTAAGGAAAAAAACCACCACACTAGATTTAAATTAACCAGGTCTGTCTTTTAACAGCTGCCAGAATTTAGATGTAATTCCCCAAAGGAAAAATGTCCATGGCACTCTTCCTGCAAAGGTTCACATGTAGGCAGAGAACTTCTGAAGTTAGGTGTGAAATTAATAGTAACAATCTTTTTTTTTTTTTAAGAAAGTAGAATAGAATCCATCTGGGGCGTGTCTGCACCACAGGGCGTCACCCAGGAGGCATCATCAGGCCGAAAAGACTGAAGGGAACCAAGAGGTTTGGCCCTTGCTGTGGAAAGGTGTGTTAATAAAAGCATAAAGAATTCTCTAATGCGCACATCAGACACGAAACCATACCAAGCCCCACTGAGACATGGAACTAGAGAGTAAGTAAACGTCAGGCCACTCCAGGAACACCACACAGACAGCAGCAGCTCACCCAAGGTCAACAGGAAGCGTTCGCTGAAGCTGCGGTTACCAGCATCTTTGCCGGATGTGAACATCCCTGAGGACACACGACTGTGCTGACTCCCAAGCACAGGACACTCTTCCCCAGGCCCCCTTAGCGTCATCGCTGCACCAGGCCTGGCAGGCCCCAAGTCCTCAGAAGCTTCTCCTGAGACAGCACTGGGGGCTACGGCAGACCCCAGCCTGCAGCCCTCCACTGTGCCCACCCCTGGTCAGGTCTGCCCTGCTGTGGCTGGTGGGCATCATGGGACCTCTGAGGAGCTCCCTGCCCACCTACTCAAGGGTCACCGTCACTCATGTTTCCTTCTAGTTCCTATGGTGCCTCCAAAACGATTTCCAAACAAAGTGATCACTGATTACCCTGGAGTATGTCAATAAGCCAACCACATACCAGCAGCCTGACGGCACCACGCTAGTCACCACTTCAAACCAGGATGAGCTGGACAACGAAGCAGTCCCCGATGGACATGGACCCAGTCAGAGGAAACACATCAGGGTAGCTAGCCCTCAGGGAGACTCGGGAGGGACCAGTGCCCGCTCCCTGCTGGAGGAAACACTAGGACAGGGCAGCAGGGGAAACGTGACGCGTGTGGGCAGACAGAACAACGTGCAGAAACCGCCGATTTTGGAGCAGGCTGAGAAACTCATTTGCGTCACTTTCTTCATTTCTGTCTTCTCAGTTACTACCAAGGAGCTAAGGAAAGTTCAGGAATGCTTTGGTTAGTGTCACCATAACATCTCTGACCATGCATCCAGTTTAGCCAAAAACTGCAATATTCCAAATTCTTAAACCAATTTATGCTGGAGTGGAACGCCTGGCACGCGCCGTGCGCCTTCAGCACACCGAGTCCGATTTTGCTGTCACTCTCCCCAGCTGAGGTGCCTGTTTCCTTCTGGTCTGCGTGGGCTCAGGTTTCAAAGAGCTTGCTGAAGGCGGTCCCCACCTCAGCAATCATGTCGGAGGTGGTGGTGGAGCGACCGTGCTTCTGGAAGGCTTGGTGGTTACACTGCCTGGTGAGGGAGCAGGCGCCGAACGCAGCCACCAGGAGAGGGCTGGACCTGTGTGGGGGGCGACAGCAGGGGGTGCGGGAAGTGGGCATCACAGTCCAGGGGCTGCAGCTACCCTGGGCTCTGACTTTGACTCTCACTTCCATCTTGGGACCCCAGATTGTCAATTTCAAGTGTGATATGCCTCTGAAGAGAAAGCAGCTTTATCACAGCGCAAACCACCATGAACCCTCTGCTAGTCTCTGAAAGGAGCCACACGGGAAACGTCCAGCATTTGGAGACAGGCCAGGGCAAGCAGCAGGCAGGTGTCCGGGCAAAGCCAGGTGGCATGCTGGGGATCCCTGTGTAACTGCTCTCAGTGCCCGGGGGTGAAGGGCAGCTGAGGTATGAGAATGTGGATTCCTGCTTCCAAGGCTGCATTTCCTGGGAGAGGGGCGTGGGGGAACTGGAGTGAACCCAGCAGAATTACCGGTAAGACTCCTGCCCACGCCCCTACTTCCTCAGCTTTCCAATTCATGTGGACACACACAGCTTGGGGGATGGCCCCAAATTTCCCCATCCCAACAATGAGGGCAAGTGAGGCCACTGGATGAAGGCCTGCCTGCCCTGCAGAAGCCTGGGTCTACCACACCTAGCACATGCCGCTGTCACCGTGATGGGCTCACGGAAGAGAAACGGAAGTGCTCAAGAGATATGAGAACTGCCTGCACTCAGAGTTCTGACTGCAGAACTGGGCCACCAGCCCTGGTCCTAGAATTCTGCTGTCTCTTAAAGAAAATTCCCATCTTTAAGAACAAGTATCTAAGTAAGTCTTGACCCTGTCTGTTTTCTTAGTATCTGTGTTACAGAGAGCAAACCACTCAACTCCCCACAATAGCCGTGCACCCCCGAACTCGCTGGAAAGCTCTGAAGACTGCCCCTTCCCCAGGCCCGAGTGTGGAGTGGGAGCTTCTGCCGAGAGCGTTCGCCTGTGCCCTGGGATCTCTCCAGTGAAGCCCAGAGTTCATTCTCAGTGTTTCCAGGGCTACTAATGCAACACATGAGCTACTGAGATAGCTTAGACAAATCAGTTTCAGAGTAGAATAAATGAAGACATGTGGCCTTACCCATTTGTTTTCTCAGGTCCAGTAAGGAGCGCCCAGTGCACTAGGACGCCCAAGGAGCCCGACAGGAGGTCTCCTTGCCCTCCACACCTGCGGCTGCTGCCTTCCTGGCTACACACAAGCACTGCAAAGGGCAGAGAGCAGGTGTCAGCACGGCATGTGTGTGAATGTGACAGTGGCCGCCTGTGTGGAAGGCTGCACCCTCCAGGAGTGCCTGAGGCTCCACTGAAATCCTGCCCCTATGGCTCGTCCCTGTTTGTTCCTCCCAAGGGTTGGAGGCACCTCTGTTTTACAGAAGAGGAAACTGAGGCACGAAGTGATGAGGCTGCCCCAAGCCCCGCTATGCAGCAAGCACGGCAGGTTGGTGGAGACACCTGCAGCTTGGAACTGGTGTCCAGCCCCTCCCACCAGCTCCCAGAGGATGAGCCCTCGCCTGCCGCCCACACTGCAGAGTTCACCTTGAACCCCAGCCCAGCCGAATGGGACAACACTGAGCGGGGCCTCCGCCCTCTCCTAACTTTCTGTGTGCCTGTGAACGTGGGGATTCCCTTTCTTTGGAAAATGTTAAAACCAGGTGTTATATTCTCCGAATGTGTTAGACCCAAGGCAGCCTTCCAGTGATCAAAAACCCTCATCTCAAAGGTGCCAAGAGCCCCTCTGAGAACATGAGCTCTGTGGTCCCTGTGCCCAGCTATGTGTGGGTGAGTGTGCAAGGGCATGTGGATGTGAGTGCTGATGAGTGAGGGCGTGTGGATGAGCGCGGGGGCGTGGGGATGAGCGCGAGGGGGCGTGGATGAGCGCGTGGGGGCGCATGGATGAGCGCGTGGGGGCGCGTGGATGCGCGTGGGCGTGTGGATGAGCGAGGGGTGTGGATGACTGAGGGTGTGGATGTGTATGCGAGGGAGTGGATGAGTGAGCGTTTGGATGAGTGCAAGGGTGTGTGGATAAGTGAGTGAGTGGATGAGTTTGCAAGGGCATGTGGATGTGTGCGAGAGTGTGCAGGGCTTTCTGCGCTGTCCAGTCATTTTGATAGAACAAAATACCCAAATAACCACATGGATCGTGGATGCCCCAAGTGAAATGAAAGATGAAGGTGGCAGCTTGAGGACACAAACCCAGGAATTTGCAGCCTGCCCTGCTGCTCCAGGCACCTGCCTGCCAGGCTGCTTCTCATAACTAAGGCACAGCAATTCAGCCAATGGGTAGAGCCCACAACTTGAAAGCCTGCTCTCACCACTGTCACCTCCCCAGCAAAACAGAAGTCAAAAACATGGACTCTGGAGAAGGTGTGTTTGTCGAGCTCATCAGGAATTCCTTTGTGCGGAATGCGTGTGACCACGTGTGTGCACACCAGAGGTCTTCTGGGGCTCACACTCAGTGTGGTCACGCTGCCTGACCCAGCAGCAGCCCACACACACAGGCCAGCGCCACTCACCCTGCTGGCCATCAGAGAGGATGTCGTGCTCTCCTTTCTGGACCACCGTCACGTTGCCCAGGGCTTGGCTGAGTCTCAGCACAGATCCATGGCGGTCATCACTGTCCACGGGGCCTCTGAACTACGGCAACGCAGGAAGACACAGAAAAAGCAAAGCCTTCCTCAGACACACGACATGTGACATTACGGACAGCCCTGTCCCATCTGCCATGAGACTCGCAGTCTTGCATCTAAAAGGATCACCCGGGCACCAGTTAGAGGCCACGTAGGTGGGAGGAAGCCCAGGATGTCACCTGCAGCAGCTCCTCCAAGCAGACACCAACACAGTGCCTGCCAGGGCCCATCCTCTACCTGGTCAGACCAGGCTGAAGGCGGACACGGAGGCTGGGCTCTGAGAGCTCTGCAGGAGTAATACAAACTCCACAGTACTGCGTGCTAACATTGATGGGATACTTACCATGTGGGGACTCAGCTTTACACAGGTTTCCTCATCTCACAGCCCCATGAGGCAGATGCCATCATCACATTACAGACAAGGCTCTCAGGACACAGACGAAATGATCTGTCCAGAGTGCACTGCAGGAGAGGGCTGGCTGACCCAAGTCCCTGCCTGTCCCAAGTCCACCACCCCATCGTTCATCCAATCAAAGAGCACAATGGGAAGACGCGCCATCTGCTGTGAGAGGCACAGTGGTGACCTGCAGGTCTGTGTCCCTGCGGAGATGTGCCCACAGGGACAGGCTGGGCAGAAGCATGGAGCTCGCCCCTCACCCTCTTTGGGACAAATGGGGCTCGTGTCCACCCTTTGGGGGCCCACTCACTCACCACAGCGTCGTACAGTCTGCTGAACTCCATGTGGTTGGGAGTGAGCACGGCCTTCCGGTAGCCCTGGATCAGCGCTGGCTGCTGAGCAACCAGCCACAGGCCATCCTGCATGGAACAAAAAGCCAGGCTTACTGGACAGGCCTTCCAGGACCCCAAGCCAGAAGGAGAGAGGTCAACTCACCGCGTCGATGACCACAGGGATGTCCCTGGCCTTTGATGCTTCCAAAATGCCCTGCCAGAAGAGAAAACTAGGCTGAGCACCATGCCTGCTGCCTCTGCCTATGGTGTGGACGCATGTCTTCTCAAAACTCACGGTGAAACTTAACTGGGCACTGGGAAGTGGGGCCTTTAAAGGTGATGTGGCAGAGCCCTCACGGGTGGGTTTAATGACCTTTAAAAGGGGCACTAAAGGTCACTTTCCTGCCCTTCCTCCCTCACCAGATGCCGGCACGTTGACACTGGTCATCCACCTCCAGAACTGTGAGGCGGGAAACGCCTGTTCATTATAAATGACCCAGTCTGTGGGACTGCTGGAGCAGTACAAAACTAAGACACTCTTCCCAAGAGCAGTGAAAGAAAATTGAGCAGACTCTTAATAAAATGCAACATCAAGTCATCAAACAATCAATGGGAAACAATAAAGTAAATGAATAAATAGAGAAGCAAGACCCAATGAACTGGCAGAGCCCCTTAGTGAGACAGGACACTGGGAAGTCTGAAAGGTGAAGCCCAGTGGAAATGCTATCCACAAAGCTGGGCTCCTAGGCTAACCCATGAAGACACACCCAGCGCCCCACCGAGGGCTTCCAGTTCTCCAGCAGATACTAATCTGCAGCATTCAGAGAATTCTTGCGAGTTCCCCAAATCACTACTCATTATGTATTTTTCATATCACTTTACTTACATATTTTAAAGTAACAAGTCACAATAAACAGGGAATCATTTTACCCTGACAGGATTACAGTGAACGTTTCAAAGGTTTTCTATTTAAAAAATACATGTGGCTGGGTGTGGTGGCTCACGCCTGTGATCCCAGCACTTTGGGAAGTTGAGGCGGGTGGATCACGAGGTCAGGAGTTCGAGACTAGCCTGGCCAACATGATGAAACGCTGTCTCTACTAAAAATACAAAAATTAGCAAGGCATGGTGGCACACGCCTATAATCCCAGCTACTCAGGAGGCCTAAGGCAGGAGAATTGCTTGAACCCAGGAGGTGGAGGTTGCAATGAGCTGAGATTGTGCCAGTACACTCCAGCCTGGGCGATAGAGCAAAACTCTCGTCTCAAAAAAAAAAAAAAAAGAAAAAAAGAAAATACTACATGTACAGAGATACACATACATACATGTAATCAACATTGGTTATTTTTATTCTTATGATCCGATATATTGTGACAAGATTATATACTGCAGTAGCATGCAAAGTGATCTTGACAGACACCTGCTAAAAAACATTAAAGGACATGCTAAGAATAGAGAACATTAAAGTACATGCTAAGAATAAAGGAATGAAAATAAAGTCATGTATATTAACAGTTAAATGAAATTTGAAAGCTGACAAAGCATTAGCTGTGTGCCTAACAAACTGCTCATTTCAGCTTGTTTGGTGACGTGGATCCCAGCTGTGGGGAAGTCTGTTTCACTCTGACGCTGGTCCAAGCATTAGCAGTGTGTCTGTCCCACAGCCCCTTCCAGGGAAGCAGGTACCTGAGACGTCACGGAAGCTAATTTCCTTTATTAACCAAAAAGATTCTTTGCCTGCTTGCCCTGAGTTTGATTTTACTGTTAAAACTGTCAGGCTTTTGCTAATTCAGATTATAGATCAGTTTCTGATTTCATGTTGCAGTATTTGGCAACAATTTGACATTTCATCTGTTTCTGTGTTTTCTTTTAATGTATTTACAAACAGTAGTCAAACGTGAATATTCAAACCCTGGAAAATGCAGTGTGACACGGGTCTCCTAGAAAGATTCGCAGCATCAGAGCCCCCAGCGCAGAAGGGTGTTCCCACCCATGGGAAAGCAAACCGTGGGACGCTAGGGGAGAAATCTGGGGGCATCTCTCAAAAATTTAAACGTCCTTACTCTCTAACTCAGCAATGGAACCTCTAAAAATTTATCTTAGAAAATACCCAAAAGAGTGGACAAAATACACAGATTCAGGACAGCACCGATGTAACACAAAAGAAGCTGGAAACAGTAAATGAACTAGTTAAATACACTGTAGCATATCCATAGTAAATTCTGATGTCACTGTTACAAACAATGAGGACTATCTGCATATCCTAGCATGAAAAAGTCCCCAGGACACACTGATAATGAGCTGTGAGAAGAGCACAGTGAGGCAGGTGCACTGGTCAGGAGCCCGCGCTCTCGCTCTCGATTCAGAGAACTTGGGTTCAAAGCCAGATGATGTCAGACACTCCCCCAAGCTGATTTTCAGTTAACACCATCCCTACCAAAATCCCAGCTGCCTATTCTGCAAATCAGCAGCAAGCTGATCCAAAACTGGACTGCATGGGACCCAGGAGAGCCATACTGACCTTGAAAAGGACAAATCTGGAGGACTTAGGCTTTCCGCCATCAAGGCTTCCTACCCAGCCACAGCAATCAGGACTGGGTAGTTGCAGAAGGAAAGCTGTACAGATAACAGAACAGAAACAAGAGTCCAGAAGAAGCCTCACGTTTAGGGTCAATGGATTCTCAAGGAGGATGAAAGACAAGTCAGGAGGAAAGAGTCGTCTCTCCAGCACATGGTGCTGCATTCGGACCCCACAAGCAAAAGAATGACACTGACGCCTGCCTTCCGCCACACACACACCAGCTCACACGGGCACACAGCTAAACACAAGAGCGGAAATGGCACGGCTCTTAAAAGAAAATGTAGGTGTAAACTTGGGTTAGGCAACAGCTTCTTAGTTAAGAAACCAGTAGCACAAGGAACAAAAGAAATAGCTAACTTGGACTTCAAAATTTAAAATTTGTGCTGTAAACAAAACCATCAAGGAGGTAAAAAGACAATCTACAGAATGAGAGGACAGCTGCAAATCATGCCTCTGATAAGAAAGTATGTGAAGAACTCCTAAAAGTCAGTAATAAAGAGGCAAACGATTTTCAAAATGGGGAAAGGGCATGAACAGATACCTCCAAAGAAGGTACCCAAACAGGCCAGGCATGGTGGCTCACGCCTGTAGTCCCAGCACTTTGGGAGGTTGAGGCGGGTGATCCCCTGAGGTCAGGAGTTCAAGACCAGCCTGGCCAACCTGGTGAAACCCCAACTCTACCAAAAATAACAAAAATTAGCTGGGTGTGATGGTGGGCGCCTGTAGTCCAAGCTACTTGGGAGGCTGAGGCAAGGGAATCACTTGAACCCAGAAGGTGGAGTTTGCAGTGAGCCGTGATCATGCCACTGCAACTAAGCGAGAGCGAGAATCTGTCTCAAAAAATAAAGTACCCAAACAGCCCGTGAGCAAATGCAAAGAAAGATGCTCAACAGCACCAGCTGCCAGGAAAATGCAAACCAAACCACAATGAGGCCACTCCACGCCCACTAGGGTGGCTACTAAGTAGACGAGGACAGTAACAATAGTGCTGGGGATGATGTCAAGAATCAGAGACCTGGCACACTGCTGGGGGGATCTTCAAAAACCACTCTGCAGCATGGAAATGCAGCTCAGACTTGGGACCTCGCATTGTGGTTCCTGTAATAAAAATAGCGCAGCTGCTATGGGAAACGGTGGCAGTGCCTCAGAAGTTGAAACACTGACACCCAAGAGGAGTGAAAACACATCCACATAAAAAGTGGAAACAAAACAATTTTCCATAAATTAGGGAACAGATAAACCAAAGGTGGTATATCCCTACAAGGAAATATTAGATATAAAAAGGAATGAAGTGCTGATACATGCTACAACATATAATAACTAATATAAGATTAGGCAGAGTTGGCCAGGCATGGTGGCTCACACCTGTAATCCCAGCACTCTGGGATGCCGAGGCGGGCAGATCATGAAGTCAGGAGTTCAAGACCATTCTGACCAACATGGTGAAACCCCATCTCTACTAAAATGCCAAAAAAAAAAAAAAAAAAAAAAATTAGCCCAGCATGGTGGCACATACCTGTAGTCCCAGCTACTCCAGAGGCTGAGGAGGAGGTTACAGTGAGTTGAGATCATGTCACTACACTCCAGGCTGGCAACAAAGCAAGACCCTGTCTTAAAAAAAAAAAAAAAAAAAGCCTCTTTCCACCATCTTTCCGTGCCACCACAATGGTGCGCATCCTGGCTGATGCTCTCAAGAGCATCAACAATGCCAAAAAGAGAGGCAAACGCCAGGTGCTTATTAGGCCATGCTCCAAAGTCATTGTCCAGTTTCTCACTGTGATGATGAGGCATGGTTACGTTGGCGAATTTGAAATCATCGACGATCACAGAGCTGGGAAAATTGTTGTGAAGGTCACAGGCAGGCTAATCAAGTGTGGTGTGATCAGCCCCAGATTTGATGTGCAACTCAAAGATCTAGAAAAATGGCAGAATAATCTGCTTCCGTCCCGCCAGTTTGGTTTCATTGTATTGACAACCTCAGCTGGCATCATGGACCATGAAGAAGCAAGACGAAAACACACAGGAGGGAAAATCCTGGGATTCTTTTTCCAGGGGTGTAATGCATATATTTACAAATAAAATGCCTCATGGAAAAAAAAAAAAAAAGCAGCATGAACAAAACGAGTCACTAAATAGCACATATAGTGTAATTCCATTAATGTGAAATGTCCTGAACACGCGAATCCATTGAGACAGAGTATACTAGCTGAGTGGCTACTGGAGACTGGGGAGACAGGGAGCAGATGCTAACGGGATGGGCTTCTTGAGGCAGTAAACATGTTCTAAGGCTGATCACGGTGATGGCTGCACATCTGTGAATATACCTGAAGCCACTGAGTAGTTCACTTTAAATGGTGAAGTGTATGGTAGATATATCATCTAAATAGAGTTTTTAAAAAACCACCTCAGGCCGGGCGTGGTGGCTCACGCCTGTAATCCCAGCACTTTGGGAGGCCGAGGCGGGTGGATCACGAGGTCAAGAGATCGAGACCATCCTGGTCAACATGGTGAAACCCCGTCTCTACTAAAAATACAAAAATTAGCTGGGCATGGTGGCGCATACCTGTAGTCCCAGCTACTCGGGAGGTTGAGGCAGGAGAATTGCTTGAACCCAGGAGGTGGAGGTTGCGGTGAGCCGAGATCACGCCATTGCACCCCAGCCTGGGTAACAAGAGCGAAACTCCGTCTCGAAAAAGAAAAAAACCACGTCTACCATTTCCTTGCTATGAGACCCCTTGGGCATCTTGAATCCTTGCCGGGACTCAAGTTGTCATCAGAAGAATGAGGATATGAATAGAAATCTACCTAATCGGGTTGTTTTCAGGCCTACACCGGATGATGACCTCATTCAGGAATGTCAATGAAGCAGGAAGCCTCTGCTCTGCGCCAGGCACAAGCTGGAAGCTGCCTAGGAGGCAGCCCGTGCTCGATGGCCTGAGGACTCTCAAGACCACAGCGAGCGCGTACGGGAACCAAAATGCGAGGTCCCAAGTCTGGGCTGCAAGGGCAGCAAGGCACACCCTCACTTCCCACCTTTCACATTTCCACGCTGCAAAGTGGTTTTTGAAGATACCAATTTTTAACTTATGAACTTAAATTCACAAAGACAAGAACCTAAAGAGCAGAGAACTCTGGCTTGTTCACCTTTAATTCATCCACACGACTAGGACGCAGAGCTGGACAGGAAGCAGCAGATGTGCCAGCAGACCCAGCGCTTGCAGATGGGACCCCCAGAAAGCCTCGGGATGACAGAGGGTTCTATTGCTCCTAAGCATGGCGACCTCCTGCTTCTCGGTGGGCGGGTAAGACCTTAAAGCTCAAAGATGGGCTCCCATGCTAACTCCATGCTGCTTGCCCTGGTGTGTACGGTGTTGGCCTGCACCTGCCTGCCCCTCAGGTGACTCACCCTGCACTGCTGGCCCCGTCGCTCACCATCTTCAAGCCCCCGCAGCCGTAGAAACACCTCTGTTAACTAAGCACTCAACAGAGTGCCATGCAAATGGCTGACATTTTCAGGGTGACTGCTGGTCTGGGAACACAGTATGGCCAGGCACCTTCTAAGGGCTTCCAGCAGAGTCCCTCACTTAATGTCCAGCCTCTGATCCACCTGCAGTCACCGCGCCTTGCACATGTGAACACACTGTGGCACCAGGCCGTCTGGCACTGTGTCTTCCCCAGGAGCTCTGACAGGGGTCCCCAGGAACTCGAGAAAGGGTCTCAGAGGGCAGTCCCTGGGATGCAACGCCCCAGGAGCACAACCCCAGCAGGGACACACAGGAGCCCAGCAAGCATCAGAGGACGCAGAGAACACAAAACTAGCAGCCATCCCCATCTTTTTACTGCCCATGATCCCAGGTGGTACTTACTTACAGCAGACAAAGTCATCAGAATAAACAATTTCCGTCTTTTTGGATTCAGGTGGGCATAAGATGAACGTTAAGAATGAAAAACCAGCATGAATGAGTGTCCATGTGCATGCGTGTGGGTGTGGACAGGCAGGCCCGTGTCACCACACAGCCTGATGTCAGCAGAGCATGATGCCGGGGCTGTGTGGGAACAGCTGCCTAGGAAGCTGAGGGAACCCCAGGGTCCCCCAGCAAGAAGTGGGTACATGGATATACACACAGGCCTGACCCCAAGCCTCTGTCAGCTCTTGAGTTCTGCTTGCCCTCTCCTCACATCAAACATAAAACATCTCAGCAACTCCACACACACCTGCAGCTGCTCCATGAGAAACAGTCGGGTGGAGGGAAGCGGACTTCAGCACTGTTCCTCACCACCTCAGCACTCAGTTTCTCCTCTGGCCCTCAAATCTTATTGCACTCACGCCACGAAGAGGCACACAGAACACCACGAAATGCAGAGAAATGCCTCTGTTCCACCCTCACCATACTAAGGGCCAAGCCCGTCGTGAGGGAAGTGAGAGAGTTACACGTTACCTTGACACTGTCAAGAAGTGCATCATCTCTACCCAAGCCAGGTCCCACGACAAGGGCATGCAGCCGGGGAAGCCACTTCTCCACCTCATGAACAGCACCGGGGCTGTCGCTAAACAGGGAAAGGAAGGGCAGGGGGGTTACCTAACGTTTCGCATTTATTTACTTTCATGTATTAGTTTACATTTTATTTTGAAAAAACAATTTACAAATAGTAATGACATGACTGGTAAATAATTTCTGTCGTTTGGGTTATTTCACCAGTACAGAAGGTTCCAGGTACCCTCTGCCCAGGCTCGCGAGGTCAGCACCCCACACATCCACATTCTGGCTCAGCGCAACTACGTTCACACTGGGTCAATACTATTCACTCAAGCGCAGCCTTGTTCGAACCTCCCGTTTCCTCTTGACGTCCTTTTCCCGTTCCAGGACCCAAACCAGGCCCCACACTGCATTTGGCCACTGCCTCTCCTTGATCTATTTTTTAATGCCCGGATTTAGATGCCTAGCTTTCAGCTTTTAGGACAAGTCAGGAGAAAAGTTATGGCTATTTTCAAAATCATCTGCCCTCTAAAGTTAACCAGTTTGTTTCCATCCACCCGTGTGTGGCTGTAAAGCACAGTCCGTGTCCTGGCAGAGCAGGCCCCGGAGGTGCACTGTTGCTGCTGCAGCGTCGCACTCAGGAGGAGACAGGGCTTTGCTTTCCCGCACCTCCCTCCTGTTCGCTGTGTCCTCTCCTAGAGCCGCTGTTAAGGCTTCTGTCCCCTTTCCTCCCCGACAAGCTCCCTTGTCAGGGTCACCAAGGACCCTACACTGTGAGATGAACCATCTGTTCTCAGGCCTCATCTCAAACGACCCCGAGTGGCACACACAGGCCCTCTAGAACTGTCTGGAAACAGCGGCTTTGCTGACTCCTGGAAGCCCCTGCTGCTGTCTGCCTCCTCCCCAGCCCAGGCTCCCGGCATCTGACTGCAGAGCCCCAGCGCCTCTTACTCCCTCATCTTCCAGCTTTAAGCGCCATCCACATGTGCATGACTCACAGCCAAGTCCATGTCCCCACTGTCGATGTCTACTAGCCACGTCCCCTGGATGTCTAACCAGCAGCCAAACTGCGCCCCACATCCAACGCCTCATCTTCATCCCACCCAATCCCACACCAGTTTCTCCACCACACGGAGTGACAACTCGCTCAGACCAAAACTCTTGGTGGCGTCTGTGCCCCTTGCCTTTTCCAATCCAATGTCAGCAAATCCCGCCCCCAAACTTTCCAAACATACCCAGACTCCAGCCGTCTCACCATCTGACTGCACCCTTCCCTCCCATGAGTCCTTACCACCGTTCCACCCCGGCCCCAGGGACTCAGCCCAACAGCCACCCAGGAGCCTTTCTGACCCACACCAGCTCTGCCCTGCTCAGCCAGTGCCAGAGCCACAGCCCTAACAGCAGCCCCACACCCTGTGCAGCCCAGCCCTGCACCTCCTGGTCACTCCGACACATCACAGCGCCCCACCTGGAGCTCTGCGCCCGCTCCTCCCTGGTGTGGAAAGGCCAGGCTCTACCCAAGCTGCCCCAACCGCTCCTCTCACTGCCCCCTCCCTGCTGCAGCTCTCACGCAACCCCCTCCCTGCTGCAGCTCTCACGCAACCCCCTCCCTGCTGCTGCTCTCTGTGCCTCCTTCACCAGCTGATGTGCTGCTCTCCTTTGTCCGTCTCCAGAGCGGCACAGCCCGATCCAGCCGGTGCCAGCACGCACACACCTGATTAAAATTAAACAAGAGCAGAAGCTCCACTCGTGTGGCCCCTAGCTACATTTCAAGCACTCAGTGGCCACAGCCGTGGATGGCAGAGAGAACACGTCCACACAGCAAGCTCTACAGCACGGCTGCCTGGGGGCGTCCCACAGGGCAGGTGTTTGCCTCCCAGTTCGATGCTGACCCACAGAACGAAGACTAGGACCTGGCACCAGACATACCTGCTGAGTACGGGAAGGGTCTTGTTACTGTTCAGAGGCCCCTTGCTTCTGCCTTCTGCAAACCTGTCACACACAGCCCACAGGGCCCCACTGCCTCTAGACCTGGGGCCAGCCATTTCCCACAGGCCCAAGTCCCCCCACCACCTCTCACCCCGCCGTGTTTGTCTTATTCTGACCACAGAAGAATGCGCTCCTTCATTTCCCTACTTCCTCTACAGCACCTGCTGACAAACTCCGAGGACGGAATATCCGTCAGACGCTCTCGGTGCCAGCAAAACTCCCAAGTGACGCAGGAGGGAAAGAGAGCTCAGGAGAAGCTGGTGCAGAGCAACTCACAGAACGGGGTGGACGATCAGCTCCGGGCTGTACGCCTTAATCACAGGCGCGGCCGCGCTGGCGCAGAACACATGGGACAAATCCGCGCCCTGCGGAAGGAGCACAAGAGGAGGGCTCAGGGACCCGATATCCACAGGCCCCAGAGGGCCCCAGCATCGCTGCCCACCTGCCAGACACGGGCATCCAGTGCTCATTATTCGGGCCTGGTGACGTGCAAGAAATGGACTAGTCACTGAGTTATACCCAGCCAGGTGGCTTAGCAAAGGGCCGGGGCACACAATGCCAGGAAAGAAAGGTAGACTTCTGCCACCACCACAGAAGCAGGGGCAGAGCCGCACACACCAGCAAAGCCCAGCTCGGCCTGGTCACCCTCCAGGAGGAAGGGTCACAGGAAAAGGCCGGCCGCTAGCACTAGCTCAATGCGTGGGAAACTGCAGGATCCGTGCTTCAGCTGGGACCTACAAAGGCATCCCAGGTTCACTCTGGTGAGTACAATACAAATCACCATAAATGGGCTTCATTGAAGTGATCTTATTACTGCACAGGATGTCAGGATAGACTTGAAGGTGTTTCCATGACCCATGATTACCCTAAGATGTTATTTAGATTTCTATCAGAAAACATTTGCTTTAATCATATTTAAATTATCAAAATCTTTACCAGAAAAATCCCCATAAAGAACTTTTAAGTAAACATACCACTTTGAGAGCTGAGATTGCTGCAAAATATGGGGCTCCAGTGTACCTAAAAAGAAGATAGAGTCTAAATATTCTTCTGAGAATAAGATAAGCACACCTTGATCAAGAAATAGGTTAACAATAAAAAACAGACAAATATCACAGATGTGATTTATCCATACACAACAGAGACATGAAGCACATATTCACAAACCCAACACCTACAAGATCCTCGTAAATGTTCAATGAACATGAGCCAATTACACTAGAAATGTCGATTTTTTTACATAAAACCTTCATGCACTTAAGGAGAGTGAATCTCCGGCTGTAGTGCCTGTGGTCTCTGCAATGCGAATGTTCAAGGTAAGGAGCTGATTGCAGGCTTCTGCCCGGAGAGAAGAAAGATACAATCACATGTTCGAAGCAGTCAGGCATGGACAGGGTCCGGGAACAGGAAGACCTCATCCTCCAAGAGTCACAGTCAGTAGAGGCCAGATGCGGGCCACTTGGGACACACAAGAAATGGCACACACCACCCAGCTGCTTTTATCTCACTGTTCTGGCATCTCTGGCACTCTAGGTCTAAGGGCACTTCAGGTACAAAAAGGAAGAGCCTTATCCTGGCATGAAATGGGCAAATGCAATCGTTATGTCCATTCCAAGCAGTGAGATGTTTTGCTAGACCAAGAAAAACAGACCTGTCAAATGCTGATACATCACCATCTTACATGGCCTTCTCCTGCAAAGCGGTGTCACCAGAAAGTTATAAAGGCAAAACAAAGGACAGAACAGGCAACATACATACACACATGCTTACATCATGTGAAAATGAGCCTCATCAATAAGAGAAATGCATTAAAACAACAAGAAAGTTTGTCGACTTGACTAGCAAAGGTTGTCCTCCAAGGGGCGCAGGGAACAGGTGCTCCTGGGAGGCAGCACCACTAATGCAATGGGGGACAATTCAGCAGCATCCCCAGTATGTAAAATGCACACGTGCCTAATCCAGTAACACCTCTAACACACCTGATGACACGATCAACAGCTAAAAATGGAGGGATGGGCAAAGAGAGAGACCACAGACATGCAAACAGAAAGCAAGCAGAAACAGAAACAGGAGTCACGGCAGACTTTCCATCAGAGACAGAAGGTATCCTTCACACCCAAGGACAACTTCTAAACAGTTCCGTACCAAACACGGCAGCAAAACAGAACAGAGGCAAGCTAGGGATTGCCACATTTCATAAGTGAATTTCGGTAACATCTCTAACTTGACATAGTAAACCAAGAGGTTGCTGAGTGTTTCTATCCTAAACACAAAAAACATGCCGTGGATGAAGTCTAGTTAAATACAGAAAAGCAGAAACAGTTAACAATAGGCTCCATTCCCCACTATAAGCAAAACCTAACACTGACACACACCAGTGAACAATTCAGTCAGGGCTCCTTGGAATTGCTTCCTAATCAAAAAGCGGATCACTGAAAAATACAGTGTCCTATGAGACTGCCTTTGGAAATGATTACCGAGGTCAAACTAGACAGCATGAATGACAGGCAGGCAAGCTGGCAGCCAGCCAGGCAGACAGCAACTGACTTGTTAAGTACCAACACTGCGCATCTGCTACTTACTCCTGACAGCCGCCAACTACGCCTATTCGTCCATCTTGCCCTTTGTGCTTTGTGGAAGACAGAGGAGGTATAATATTTCTCACCAGCTGCAAGGTATTTTCCATATCCTTTATCGAATGTGCTTTATATAGCGAAAACGCTCTTTCTAAAACTGAAAAACAAGAAAAATGAATAGTTCAGAAAGGTAAACAGGTATCATTATTACCCATAAAGAACACTTAAAAATAGCCTATTAGCCAAAACCCCCTCCAAAGTTAATATGAATGTAAGCAAATATGTTCAAAATTACAGTAACACAAGTAATTTTTTTTTTTTTGAGATGAAGTCTGGCTCTGTCACCACTGCATTTTGCTGGAGGGCAGTGGCGTGATCTCAGCTCACTGCAACCTTCACCCCCCAGGTTCAGGCGATTCTCCTGCCTCAGCCTCCTGAGTAGCTGGGATTATAGGCATCCATCACCACACCTAGCTAATTCTTGCATTTTTAGTAGAGACGGGGGTTTCACCATGTTAGCCAGGCTGGTCTCAAACTCCTAACCTCAAGTGATCTGCCTGCCTCAGCCTCTCAAAGTGCTGAGATTACAGGCATGAACCACCATGCCAGGCCTTAACACATGTAATTAACACATGTAGTAACACATGCTATCGATCTATTTATTTGAGATGGAGTCTAGCTCTGTCACCCAACCCAGGGTGCAGTGGCATGATCACTGCTCACCACAACCTCTGCATCCTGGGTTCAAGTGATTCTCCTGCCCCAGCCTCCCAAGCAGCTGGGACTACAGGTACCCACCACCCTACCCTGCTAATCTTTGTATTCTTAGTAGGACAGGGTTTTACCATGTTGACCAGGCTGGTCTCCAACTCCTGACCTCAAGTGATCTGCCCACCTCAGCCTCCCAAAGTGCTGGGATTATAGGCATGAGCCGCCCCACCAGTACAACGCATGTTATTTCTTTTGAAATGTATCAGAAATTTTGGAAGACCATTTAATTTTCCAGAAAGTTTTATCAAATAAAAAATGCATTATTACTTAATAAACTATCTTACTTCATTTCAGTTTCCCTTTAGGATTATTAGGTCTTTTCTATCCTCACATACTGGAAAGCAAGCTCCCACCTGTAATCCACTGGGATGCTCAGAAGTCTGACAGATTCATATTACTCCCAACTGTATTCCAACATGCAACTGGATGTTACTTAAATAACCTAGAAACGGCATTCTAAATATGGCACACATCTTAAACTGGGTTCTAAGTGGCATTTAAAGTAATTTCACCATCTTGAATTATCTCTAAACAGCTACACTATAATTGGCCTTTCTTGAAGAACTTCCTGCGTTGTATATTTTACCTTAATATTTAAAACAGCTCAGCTATGAGAGAAATGCTAGTATGTTCTACAGAGCTCAATGGATAATAAAGTATACACTCTCCTGCAAATATAAACAATATTTTTTCAAACAAGGCAATCAATATTTTTATCCTTCCAATTATCTCTGCAGCAGAGAAAAAAGCTAGATGTGTCACAGGTGCCACTGACTGAAGCCCAAAGCTGACTGAGCGTTTCATGGCAAAAGAGCTTTGTCTTTTAACTCTTACAGCTTTACTTTTCACTCAACAAAAGTTTTGAAGGAATTTTCTTTATGAGTAGACTGACTTAGCTGATAGAGCAGACGCTGAGACCCCCAAGATGAAAAGAGCCTGTGAATTCCCGTCGATCGCAAACCTTTTCACCTTCTTCCAGACCAACACACGATGAGACCCGGCACAGAATCACTGTCAACTATGGGCCAAGAAGAGACACAACGCGGCTTGCTGCGCTACCTGCAGCTGGGGTCTGTCATGAGCCACAGTTGGCAGCCCTACTTCCACCTGGATATGGAGCCAGGCCCCAGAGGCACAGGCTGCCACAGCCACTCTGCTCTCTCTCCTCCCCTCGTCACTCAACTTCCCGTATGCCCATCCTGCACCCTAAATTCCAAGACTGCAGTCTTTCTACCATGCACATTTACGGAACACCATAAATGCTCTTCCTCTGAGTACCCTTTGATGAGCTTGTGTCAGCAATCAGAGCTGCTACAATTAGATGAAATGACAGTGTCGTGAATGCTGATTAACAATCTACACAGCTATGAAAGCCCTTGGCATGCACTTGTTTCAAACTGTAACATAACCTGACATGGTAACATCGCTGACCAACGCAGTATCAGAACCCCCCGAGAACAACAGACAGTTGCTTTTTAAGTCTAAAAATTATAAAAATAAAACCCAAATTTACCAGTCACATAAGGGTCATTGTGGGTTCCTTAAAAAGTTTCGGGTTTACTGCTTACCATCCCTTTATCCAAAGTACTTAGCCACATTTTTAAAAAATCCCTAATACCAAGCTGGTTTCTTATGTTATAGATGCTAGAGATGGCTTCAAAAAGCTGTTTCCAACCTAGCATTTCAGTAACTCTTAGTGGAAGTGGTTGAGATAATGCCTTATATTACTTAAGAATTAATTATAATCAGTACTATAACTGAATGGACTTCCAAGTCAGCCTTTGAGATATGAACTTAAACATTCAGCATAAAAAGTCTAGAGAAAATATGGTTTTTATTGTTTGTCACTAAATAAAACATAAAGTGCTTTAGAATGTGCATGTCCCAACAGGCACAAATATCCTCTATCAGTTTAATTTCCCTATCTTTTCTGTCTAAAAGTAGGCATTTAAAAAAAAAAAAAAAACCAGAAATGAGGCCAAGGTCGGTGGATCACCTGAGGTAAGGAGTTTGAGATCAGCCTGGCCAATATGGTGAAACCCCATCTCTACTAAAAATACAAAAATAAGCCAGGCATAGTGGCATGTGCCTGTAACCCCAGCTACTCAGGAGGCTGAGGCAGGAGAATCACTTGAACTTGGGAGGCAGAGGTTGCAGTGAGCCAAGATGGTACCATTGTACTCCAGTCTGGGCAACAAGAATGAAACTCCATCTCAAAAAACAAAAAAGAAAAAAAGAAATTAAGAGTCAATATGTCAAATCACCACTTGGTATTATTTTCTCAGTGGGCAATAGTTTAAGCTCTTGGCCTTAAACAGGAACTCAAGATGGATGAAACTGTAGGTCTCACGTTAGGGGTATTAGCAGAAGCACTTTATTAAAGCTCCTACTACCAAAAAAAAAAAAAAAAAAAAAAAAAAAAAAATCACACCAGCAAAAACTCTTCCATGTAAAATTGTTCTTTTAACAAGCATAAAAGATTTTCACAAACATACTTCTTTCTTTAAAACAAGACAATGTTGCCGGACGCGGTGGCACGTGCCTGCAGTCCCAGCTACTCAGGAGGCTGAGGCGGGAGGATCGCTTGAGCCAGGAGTTCTGGGCTGTAGTGCGCTATGCCGATCGGGTGTCCGCATTAAGTTCGGCATCAATATGGTGACCTCCCGGGAGCGGGAGACCTCCAGGTTACCTAAGGAGGGGTGAACCGGCCCAGGTCAGAAACGGAGCAGGTCAAAACTCCCGTGCTGATCAGTAGTGGGATCGCGCCTGTGAATAGCCACTGCACTCCAGCCTGAGCAACTTATCAACACCCCATCTCTAAATAAAAAAAAAAATTTTTTTTTAATTAAAAAAATTAAAAAACAAGACAATGTTGCAAAACTCACAGGTAATAAAATTTAACCTATCATTTCTCCAGTGGATTGCTATGCAAGTTATGTGACTAATGACTTTAGGAACTACTCACAGGCATGGTGGCTCACACCTGTAATCCCAGCACTCAGGGAGGCTGAAGTGGGTGGGCCACCTGAGGTCAGGAGTTTGAGATCAGCAAAACCAACACGGCGAAACCCTGTCTCTACTAAAAATACAAAAAATTAGCTAGGTGTGGTGGCGGGCGCCTGTAATCCCAGCTACCTGGAAGGCTGAGGCAGGAGAATCTCTTGAACCCAGGAGGTGGAGGGTGCAGTTAGCTGAGATCACACCACTACTGCACTCCAGCCTGGGCAATAGGAGCAAAAATCTATCAAGAAAAGTACTTGCAATAATGTCTGACCACAAAGGAAGGAAAATGAGGGGCAATATGTATCATCAAGTGTCAAAATGGAATGATTATGCGCCCATCCTTGAAATCCCCCCACGTGGGCTAAATTATGCTTTTAAAACAATACATTTGTCTAGAAAAGGCAGTTATTGGCCCAGGCGTCGTGGCTCACACCTGTAATCCCAGCACTTTGGGAGGCTGAAGCGAGTGGATCACTTGATGTCAGGAGTTCAAGATCAGCCTGGCCAACATGGTGAAACCCCATCTCTACTAAAAATATAAAAATTAGCTGGGTGTGCTGGTGCACACCTGCAATCACAGGTACTCGGTAGGCTGAGGCAGGAGAAGTGTTTGAACCTGGGAGGTGGAGGTTGCAGTGAGCTGAGGTTACGTCACTGCTCTCCAGCCTGGGTGACACAGAGAGGCTCTGACTCCCCAAAAAAACAATAAAAAAAAGACATTTACCGGTATGGATCAGACGCTGTCTTTGCCTTGGGAGCTGTTCTACGCACAGAAGGACGCTAAGCAGCAACCCTGGCCTCTAGCTAGTCAGCAGTGCATGCAAACACACCTCCTTGTGACAACTAAAATTATCTCTGGACACTCCCAAATGTCCTTTCGGGGGGAGGGGGCAAAATGAACCTGGGTTGAGAACCACTGGTAGAGATGCATGCATGTAGTTCTAGCACCTTTACATATGCCAGTACTTCAAATTAAATCGTATTTCAGGTCATATAAATTGTCACTTATGAAATCACAGGGAAAAAATTTAGTCAGACTTCAACTTATGAATGCTAAAAATTAACATTTATATCAATGTACCCCGCCTGATGAAAACAACTCCTAAATGGTAATACTTGATAAATGTGTATTTCTCACACTAAGAAAAGGAATAAAATGGTTCCACCAGATAATACTGTACATTTTCCAGAAAGCTGCTTTCTCCCAATATTTAAGATGCACAGCTTATAAACATCTATATTTTAAATTTCAGATTTAAGTCTAAAAAAGTACAATAGGCAAAGTATGAAATATTTAATGTTTATATCAAAAAGGGCAAATATCATGAACTGACATGTAACTCCCCATTTGCACTTTGCCTCACAGTTGAAATAACCCACATGTTATCAGAAAGGATCTGACACAAAATTAAGCTGCACCCACGAGTCGAGGTGGAGCATCTTTGAGGTGCAGGGAACACCTCGGTCCCTGTGCAACCAATGTCACCCAACACCCAGGAGGGGAGGGCACGGCAGCCTCAGGGACCACAGGTGCAGCACCGCAGCTCCCAGGGGGCTCTGCTTTCCAAGTGCTTGTTTTCTCTGCATCTGTCCCTGAGCTGAAAAATTTCCTTTCTGTGTCACACTTCGCTGGAAATCCTCCCACTGCTTTGGCAGATGGGTACTGGGATAGCACCTTTTTGATCTTTTTGGCTGAGAAAGAGGAGATGTGCTAGTCCAAGAATGGATACGCTTAAAGCCTACAGGTTTTACAGCAAATAATGATTTTTGTTGTTGTTCAAATAACGACAAGAACACACATAATTTTTCCTCCACTTCAAGGTAAGCTTTATTAAAATGGTAAGGTATCAGGGGACTTAAACGTCAAATACAATATAAAAATTTGGGCCACTTTCTAAGGCAGATTTATCTACAGTAGATTAAGCATTCAAGTCCCATTTACCACAAGCCAAAAATATCGATTCTGATTGTGTAAAAACACACTATATTCACATAGCGATCTTTATGATGCCTAGAAAGAAAACATGGGGGAAATCCTATTTTGAGCTATTCTTTTATCTTATATAGGAGGTTAGTGTTTTGGAGCCCAAATGTGCAAATTACCCTCACAGCAACTTGATCAACACACCAAAGCAAGTCTCCTCCTCCTCCAGTTCTGCTGTGACAATGTTTTTTTTTTTTTTTTTTGAGACGGAGTTTCGCTCTTGTTACCCAGGCTGGAGTGCAATGGCGCGATCTCGGCTCACTGCAACCTCCGCCTCCTGGGTTCAGGCAATTCTCCTGCCTCAGCCTCCTGAGTAGCTGGGATTACAGGCACGCGCCACCATGCCCAGCTAATTTTTTTGTATTTTTAGTAGAGACGGGGTTTCACCATGTTGACCAGGACGGTCTCGGTCTCTTGACCTCGTGATCCACCCGCCTCGGCCTCCCAAAGTGCTGGGATTACAGGCGTGAGTCACCGCACCCAGCCTCTGCTGTGACATCTTAAGACTTCGTGAGAGTCCCAGTTCCCAGACCATGATGCTACTCTAAGGGCTGGTCTAAGAACCCTGGAGGACAAGAAGCATCATCCAGAAACTGAATACTTAAAGATTTACACATGACAAAGGTGGCTCTCAAATGTAAGCTAGCTTAAAATTATTTTTAAATCATAACATAATTGATAGTAGCTTTTGCTACATAATTTAAAAAATTAAAAGTGATACCAAAAGTTAAGTATTATTGCTCTAAATCAGTTATAATTTATGTTAACTTAAAGTACTTTTATTTTTTTTAAGTAGAATTTTCCAGTACTAAAGGCACTTTCAGCGCAAAGCAGCAGTGATAGTCTTTCCCAGACAGCTTCTTTAAAACAAAAGCCAAACAGACTTGACTTTTGACCAGCCCTTAGAGTAGCATCATGGGCAGGGGTTCTGAAACCTTTCAAACACACAGATAACCTACATGGCAGGGACTGACCGGGACAAAAGAAGGTCTGCCTGGACTAGTGAATCACCACCCTACTACTGTCTGCCTGCATGAAATGTGGCACCAGGACACACACTGCAGCACTGACTGCTTCCATGTGGGACTCACCTCGATTACCTTGAACACAGCCTGGCACAGAACACAACACTTGATAAATGTTTGATGAAGTAAAAACATCTTGATTCACTCTCCTCACTAACAGCCAGTTTCTCTTTCTTTTACAGGTAAGGAAACCGGGGCCCAGAGAGAGACCCGTGCAGATGCTGTGGTTAGCAACGGACAAGCCAGGCCACAAGACACTATTTTACCAAAGTGCTGCCAGGTTTTTGTTTTTCTTTTTGTGGGCACATAGTTGGTGTAAAATGCTCCCATCATAAGGCAAAATAAGAAGTACCACATTTTCCCTTAACTAGAATTGTGTTAACACAAAGTAAAATCCAGGCTGCACACCAGCATTCACCTAAGTAAACAGCTTCTGCTGGCAAAAGGGCCAAAGAGGTCAACTAAACTTGCCAGCATCTGGCAGTGAAGCAAGTTCCTGCTGGCTTACTGCCATCACTATTGGAACTCACCCACAGAAACATGCACAGGTAAACATTAAAGTTCTGAAGGACAAAAAGGCCTTGCCAAGAGGTGACTTAAGATTTTATCCTACTCAGGAACTTTTCTCAGGACAATTCTGAGTCTGGAAGAACAGGTCAAATCTGGCTTTTGTTTTAAAGAAGCTGTCTGGGGAAGACTATCACTGCTGCTTTGCACTAAAAGTGCCTTTAGTACTGGAAAATTCTACTTAAAAAAATAAAAGTACTTTAAGTTAATGTAAATTATAAGTGATTTAGAGCAAGAATCCCTAAGTTAACTGAAATATACCCTAAAGCCTGGGTGAGAAGTCAGTAATATACAACTCTAACTGGCTTTTGGTAAAAGTTTAGGAAATCAGTCTGATAATGATTCCTCAACCAAGTACAATGAAAAATCTTGCTATTAATCATGGTGTGTGAATTTAAGGTAAACAGCTACAAATAAATCTGTAAATCAAGTGGTGTTAAGAAGACTCCCTGCTGGTGTGACTGAGGGGCAGTGTGGAGGACCCTCTCAGAGTCACTCAATGATTCAGAGCCAGTGTGATGAGAACAAAAAGCCAGAAACTCTCTGAGGATACCCAACATATACACAAGGTAAAATGTGCCTAACGACTACATCAACAAATACCATTTAACTATTTCAGCCACTTACTGGCTGAAGAATCCTGGCTAAGTCACTTTCTCTAAGCTTCTATTTATCTTCTATAACAAGGTGGATGCAGCAATCTCTCCTTATGAGAAATGAGGAGTCACCATACAAGAAGTACTTCCTGTATAAAAGATGTCAGAGACACCAATATCCACAAGGCAAACAGAAAGGGAAAAACCCTATGAAGAGATGCGGCTCCAAGCACTAGCTCAGCTCCTGCTTAAATTCTTCCTACATCATCCGTTCTATTTGAAAAGGCGTCTCAGAGTCCGAGGAGCAGCCAAGACCAGGGCAGCGCCCTAGGGGGCATCTGGCCAGCGCTCCGGGTTCTGGGGTTCTGGGGATGGCTCAGGTGAGCCGCCCTCCCCAAGGGACCTCCTGCGCGCGCACACACACACACACACACACACACACACCGTGGCCCGGGGCGGGCGAAGGAGGAGGCCTGGCTGGTCGAGTCCTTCTCTGAGGTCCAGGCGTCGCAGTATCCGGCCTCTATTGTCCAAGGACGTGCAGGGTCGTCTGTCACTTGCCTAGTGGCACTGGAGCTTCCAGCTGGGGATGCGGACGCGGCCCTGCCTCCTGTATTCGCGCAGCCCGCTAACCCGTCAGCTCGCCAGCACGTCCGCCGCCTCCCAGGGCCCCAGGAGGTCCCCGTCTCCAGCCGTGGTTAGCAATGGACAAGCCAGGCCACAAGATACTGTTTTCCCAAATAGCGTGTGGCGAAATAGCAAGACCACAGCAAGCCAGGAGATGGCGAGCATCGTTCCCAGACTGGGAGCGGGGCCAGAGCAGTTGGACTCGATCGCCGCCCCACGGCGCCCCAGGGTCCTCCCACCGGCCCTCGGCATCCTGCTCCTCGGCCACCGCCCGGGCTCCGCCGCTCACGCCCGCCCCCGGGTCGCCACGACAGCGGGTGGCTCCAGCCCCAGCGCCACCCTGTCTCCCCGCGCGGGGCTCCCGTCACCACGAGCAGCGCCCAGCCGGCTCCCAGGAGGCCCCCGGCTTCTCCCTACTCAGCCCCGCGCGTGGGCCGACCCTCGGCGCCGCCTTCCCTTGGCGAGCCAGCAGGGGCGGTCAGCGGTCGGGTACCTGCGTCCAGCGGCGGCCCATACAGCGCGAGTGCGGCCGAGAGCAAAGCGACCACAGCCGCGCCGGCAGCCGCAGCCCCGGCCTCGGCTCGTGTGACCATCCCCGGGCCGGACGCCGTCGACCTTACCTCGCCTGCAAGTCCGGAACGCCCCACAGCGAGAACTCATTCCGGATTCCCGGCGGCCCCCGCGCCACCACCGGAAACACCGGCAAGGGAAGCCGTTTCCGGTTTCCCGACCGCTCCGCGCCGCTGCCGGAAGTCGGATCCCAACTCGCGCAGTCACACCCCGTCCTAGATGATTGACAAGCGCGACGCCCAACCCGGCCTGGCCCCAGCTCTGGGCTGCGAGAGCTCGGCTGGAAGGCTGGTTGGAGCGTTGAAGATGTCAGCTTTAGGGTCTGGTTAGTGCTTATCGGCCCTTTTTTAGGCATGCGTCGTCACAGAAAATGATTTTGCCGGGCCGGGCGTGGTGGTTCACGCTTGTAATTCAAGCACTTTGGAGGCCAAGGCGGGCGGATCACCTGAGGTCGGGAGTTCAAGACCAGCCTGACCAACATGGTGAAACCCCGTCTTAAAAAAAAAGAAAAAAGAAAATGATTCAGCCGGCAGGTGAAGTGGCGAGGCCCCCTACGTGCCCTCAGTGTAGCAATCAAGTGCCTTTCTGCTCCAGGCGCGACCTCTGCCCTGAACCCCAAACCAGCACACCGAGGCCCGGCCGCCTTCCACCGTCTCCGGTCCTGGCAGCTCCCTCACTCCCGCGTTGAGGCCCAACCCCCTGGAAGGCGTCCTGGCCGCTCTCTCCCACCCGCGCTCCTCTTGTGACTGAGGCCTCTCACCTCCACTGCCACCCTGTTTGAAGCCACCCTCATGGTGCTAAAGGAAACTCGTGGGCCAGGCGCGGTGGCTCGTGCGTGATCCCAGCACTGTGGGAGTCCAAGATGGGAGGATCATTTGACCCCGAGTTCGAGACCAGCCTGGGCAACATAACATAAGGAGAACCCCTCTTCTTTACCAAAAAATGTTTGAAAAATTATCAGGGGATGGTGGTGGGCCCCTGTAGTCCTGGCTCCTTGGGAGGCTGAGGTGGGAGGATGGCTCAACATGTCAGAGGCCTTTGAACTAGAGTGATTGCATCTTGAATAGGGGCTGGGTAAAATGACGGTGAGACTTACTGGGCTGCATTCCTAGGAGGTTAGGCATTCTTAGTTACAGGATAAGATAGGCAATGGGCACATGATACAGGTCACAGAACCCCCAGTGATAAAACGACACAGCAAAGAAACCGGCCCAAAGCCCACCAAAACCAAGAGGGCCACAAAAGTCCTGACTGCTCATTATTTGCTGAATACCATGTATTAGCATACTGAAAGACACTCCCACCAGCGCCCTGACAGTTTACAAATGCCATAGCAATGTCAGGAAATTACTTTCTATGGTCTGAAAAGGGGAAGAACCCTCCATTCCAGGAATTGGCAACCCCTTTCCTGGAAAACTCATGAATAATCCTCTCCTTATTTAGCCTGTAATCAAGAGATAACTATAAATATACTCAGTCAGCCAGTGCCACTGCTCTGCCTATGGAGTAGCCACTCTTTTATTCCCTTACTTTCTTAATAAATTTGCTTTCACTTTTTGGACTTGCCCAGAATACTTTCTTGCACAAGATCCAATAACTCTCTTGGGGTCTGCAACCACTTTCTGATAACAGAGTCAAACCCTGAACTACACCTACCGGACCAAACCAATAAGGAGTTTAACCCCAGTACTGAGCTTTAGTTAATGGCAGGGGACTACGTAACCAGTTAAGCAATGAAGCTCTAATCAAATCAGCTGTCTCTGTAACACACTTCTGCTTCCTATAGGTGCTGTCAGATCATGTTGCTGAGTTCTCTGACCTGCTCTGGTTTGGAGGGTTGCCCCTTTTGGGAATCTGCTTTGTTTTGTTTGAATACACTCAATTAAAATTTAAATGTGTCTAGGGTTTTTCTGTTTAGTAGCCTGTATGATGGCAGTAGTCTGCTGCATGTCAACGAAAAGAATCAAACCCTAAAATATTTGAGATTTATTCTAAGCCAAAGATGAGTGATCATGGCCTGTAACATAGCCCCAGGAGATCTGAGAACATGTGCCCAAGGTGGTCGGGCTACAGCTTGGTCTTATACATGGCAGGGATACAGAAGACATCAATCAGTACATGTAAGAAGTACATTGGTTCAGTCCAGAAAAGCAGGACAACTCAGAGAGGGGCTTCCAGTAATACACAGGTGGATTCGAATATTTTCTGATTGGCAGTTGGTTGAAAGTTTACTTAAAGACATGGAATCAATAGAAGTGTCTGGATTAAGATAAGGGATTGTGCAGGTAAAGCCTCTGAAGCCAAGTAGCAGGCTTCAGAGAAAATAGATTGTAAATGTTTCTTTCTTTTTTCTTTCTTTTTTTTTTTTTTTAGACAGAGTCTCACTGTAGGAAATAAGAATAATTAAAAAGTTCCTCTTCAAAGCTTTCCTCCTAGTTCATTATGAATAAATAATAGTCTCTTCAAAGGTTATTTTACTTTAAAGCCTTTGCTAAAAATCTGAAAGTAGCTGTTAGTCATAATAAGGAAGTAAGTGTATCCTATGTTCTTAGTTCTTATGCTTTAATCTAGATATTTGTCCTGACATTCCTGGGCAAGCCCAGGCAAGTCTTAGGTCATAGCTTTTTTCCCTTTCTTATTTGGAAGTGTTACTGCTTCTCTAAGCGTTCCTTAAGTTATTTCCTCTTTTCCTTTGTTCTCCTCTGCCTTTACCTCTTTAGAAAAGTTGTAAGTTTTTAGCCAACCGGGGGCAACCTAGACTGTGAAGTCCAGTTCCAGCCAATGGAATCAGGACAGAGCAGTAGGGCAGATGCATTAGATATAAATGGCCTGCCTCCTTTGTTCAGTGTCCTCTCATGGCAAGATGGCTAACGGGAGCACCCTTTCTGCAGAAAGTAAAGTTGCCTTGCTGAGAAAATTTAATTTATATTACAGTGCTACTTCTTTTGCAGCACCAAAAATTCACATATAACAGTTTGGGGGCTTGTCGGATATTGCCATTCCCCTCTGGAGTGGTCTCCAGTCCTCTCTTGTGAGGAGGTGCCCCCCTACCCCCCGCATCTCTTTGCAGCAGCCTTGAGGGTAGAGAGCTGGGACCTACCCGGTGTGAGGAATAAACCTGGATTCTCAGCAATGCAGGGGAAAGAGATTCCAAACTGTGGTGACCAGGGGCCTCGACCAGGCAATCTCGTGCATGAGCCAAGGTAGGAAACGTTACAAAGGGGTGACAAAGTACTTCCTTGGTGGTCAAATTCTGAAAGGTTAAATGTGTGTGTGAATGTGGTGGTGTTTGTATGAAGGGTGACAAGTCCTACTGCTGGACAGAGTGAGTGGGTCCTCTCTGCGGTTCTGTGGCTACCTCAGAAGGCTTAGGATGGATCCTGCCATGGGAATTATACCAGCACACTGATGCTAAGAGAGCCCTGAATCTCCTTTGGGGGAGCAGTCAAAGAGGACCACTTTTTTTTTTTTTTTGAGATGGAGTCTCACTCTGTCACCCAGGCTGGAATGCAGTGGCATGATCTCGGGTCACTGCAACCCTGGCCTCCCAGGTTCAAGCAGTCCTCCTCATCAGCCTCCCAAGTAGCTGGAACTACAGGTGTGTGCCACCACGACTGGCTAATTTTTGTATTTTTAGTAGAGACGGGGTTTCACCATGTTGGCCAGGCTGTTCTCAAACTCCTGACCTCAGGTGATCCACCCACTGTGGCTTCCCAAAGTGCTGGGATTCCAGGTGTGGGCCCTCATTCCCTGCCTTTGTAAATGTTTCTTATCAAACTTAAGGTTTGGAGCTGACATTTCAAGAAAGGATCCTAAAGAAATGTTAGAAATGTACTGTATTGCTCCTTCCACCTCTTTATCAGTCACTCCTCTTAGACACAATGACAAAACCAAAGTCTCATTGATAGAAATAGAGGATCTAAGGCAAACCATAGCCATTGAAATATGGATGCAAATGCCTAGTTAGAATGGATTAAATATTCCGTTCACACTTTAAATAAAAGTGACTGTTATGCTTGTGCGCACGGTAGGCCGGAGGCTCAGGTTGCTCCCTTCCCATTTAGATAGTTGTCAAATCAAACAGGCATGGAATGCATAGTGGCTCTTCCTCAGGATTCCCTCAGTAGGTCCCCTGTGGCCAAGGGACTTAGAGTCAAAAGACTTACAGCCAATTAAATATTCTAGGCCAAATGGAATGAAAGTGAGCAGGCACTCATTAACCTTAAAAGCTCTTTTAAGCAACATAAGAGCCAAAAGCCAAAAGCCAAGATTACAAAATTGACTTATTTATAAATTCTGTGCATTGAGCTACTGTAATCTGGTTCATAGCAATTAGCTATATAAAACACAAGCATTTTATTAAGCTGCTGAGGCTTCTCTGTGCCCATCCTTAATTTGGAAGATCTGAATTTATATTCCTCAAAATTTGGCCCTTACAATCTCATGCTGGGCCTGGAGGGATTGTATAGTTCAAATTCTGGAGGTAAAACAAAATACAGGAATTAACAACATTTTAAACGAAAAGATCATAAGCCCTGCCTAGTTTTGAGAATGACAGAAAAGGAGTTAAATCTTTAGATTATTTAGTAGCAAGGCATAGAATAAATTACATTATTTCAAATAAAGGCAGAATTATTAAATGAACCTTAATGCTTTTGAATACAGGCCCGTCCCTGTGTTTTATAAAAGCAGTTTACTTTGAGTGTCACCTTTGCCTGGGTCTTAGGACGAGGCTTTGGTCAACTTGAGTTTGGTGTCAGTTACTGGTAGAAGTCAGTGCCTTCTTTAGATGTGATATGTGTACCCAGGAGTCAAGACCCTGCAACTTAACAGCACAAAAATTAGTTAACAGCCTGAGCACAGTGGCTCATACCTGTAGTCCCAGCACTTTGGGAAGCCAAGGCAGTTGGCTC